CAGCCGCAGGGGGGGGCATTTAGGGGGTGATCAGCCGCAGCAGAGTGTAGGGTGATCAGGCAGGCAGGCAGGTGAGCGGTTAGGAGCCAGCGGTCCCAGATTGCGAGAGGGATGTCCGACTGCCGGATGTCCACAGGGATCGGGCCTAAACCGGCTGTTGGACATCCCTGAGGGGTCCCAGATTGGAGAGGGTGCAGGCCAGGCTGAGGGACACCCCCTCCCCCACCCCACCCCCCGTGCACGAATTTTGTGCACCAGGACATTAGTCTATATATATAAAAGCATAATATGCTAATTAGACTGAATAGCTGAACGACCTTCCGAACGACCTTCCAAACTACGAAGCTGAGGCTGCGAGGGCCGAGCCCCTTGCATGAATTTCGTGCATTGGGCCCCCAGTGTTGTGATTTGCATTATACGAAATGTCTAGAAGAGGCAGACACATAGAAACAAACAAATGAGTATTAAAGAGAATTGTTTGTGGGTTCTAAAATTGATTATGGTGATGGTTATATAACACTGTGAGTATACAGTACTAAAAACCGCTGAAATGTACCCTTTAAATAGGTGAATTGTACGGTATGAATTAAAGGTGTTTTGTGGTCCATTAGATTGGGTGCCTCTTGACCGTAGGGATGAAGCCAGCCAGCTTTGCACATATCTCCAGCCAGTGCTTCCACACAGGCACTCAACCAATATTTCTTGAGGGAACAGCACACTTTTTAACTGTACCTGATGCTTATACAGTGCTTCATAAATTTTACAGCAATTTTTTTTTCATTGATAGCAGCAGCTCCTTTGTGCCTCATAACAATCCTGAAGGTGTTTAAAGAGACCATATTCGGCCATACTGTGAAAAATGATCAGCTGTACAAAGGAAAAACATTTGTCTACTAAATTTTGTGTGGAGTTGTTCTCACAGTCTGTTTGTCTTGCATTTCTTGTCTGTCTGCCTTCCAGAGGGAATCCACTTTGTAGTGCAATCAGCATAGCTCTGGGACACCTAACCACACTGCAACCCAACAGGGCAACCCTGTCACCTGGGGGGCAGAAACCAAAGTCGCAGAGATTCCTTTTCTGAGCAAAGAGCAATAAGGCCCTGGGGACTTTAGCTTCGGGATATTGGAATCAGTCTCCTCAAATACTTCTAACCAGAGGTTTGAGTTAGTGGGGTGTCCCATGACCATGATCTCAAGAACATTTAGCTTGTCTCCCAGGAGCCAAACTCAGGGTTCTAAGCTCCCCGCCCCCCGCCCCCATCCCACTCACATGCTTGGGAGGGAAAACCCCTACTTGGCACATTTCAGCCAGGGCCTTTCCAGTGGGAGGCGGAGGGAGCCACTTGGTTAAGAAAAGTCTCTTGAAACCTTTCCCGCACGACCCCCGCCCCCCTGCGTATGTGTCCCTCATGGAAGTGCAATTGGAAGGCCCCCTCCCTTTAAACCCTCGAGGGTTGCCTGGGAACACGGATGTGTCGAGAAACATTGCGGTTTCTGAGCTCTGAGGTGGAGAATCCATCCTCATGACCGCGACGCCACTTTCCGCAGGCTCCAGGCCAGCTTTTAGTAACAAACATTAGGTCCATGGTGTCAGGGAGCATCTTGAGCGCGTCAGTGAGGTGCTG